AATGAAAAACACTTTGCTAAAATTAACATTATCTTCACTTTTAAATGCTAGCTAGAAGTGAACAAAGTCATAAACGTAACATTTCAGAATTAGGGGCAGACATTTATATTGCTCAGCCAATATATTAGGCAGGTTTTTTTTACTTCGTTAGTAAAGGCAATTAAAAGTCAGGCGCATCCATGGGCAGCCTGGTGCTGCAGTTTATTATTTTATGTACATTTAGGTATTTGAAAACACCTGTTTATTAATTATTTAAAAAAATCTTATTGTCAACTGATATATTGTTATTTTTAGGGCTGCACGATATTAGGAAAACCTGTGAAATGTGATAACAGTGATTAATATTACGATGATGATATTACTTGCGATAAATAAAAACTTAACTCACGAACAAAAATAATCAAAAACAAAGAAACAAAAACTGACAAAAATTCATAAAAATGAGAAAAACAAAAGAAAAGAAAAGGCAATCAGTGGATCTCGTGAAAAGCTGAATCGGCAGAAAGAGCAGAACCAAGCTAACTCAAGTGTTTGCTAACTATCAAAATTAAGTGCCGTCCGTCTAACCTATGACAACCGACCCAACTGGCCGACAGGATGAAGAGCTCTATTTGATTTGTTAAAAAAAACATCATGCTTCCCTTCGATTGACAGAATGCATTATGTGTAGCAAACATTTGAGCTGACTATTCATTACGATATTTATCTGTTCTTTGCGATATGCATATTGCACATGCTGATATTGCGATAACGATATATTTGTGATATATTGTGCAGCCCTAATTATTTTTGCTGTTTTGTGGATTTAAAACTTTGTATATTTATTTATTTGTTTATTTAGTTAATTTTGGTTAAGTGTTGGATTTTAATACCGTGCAGTGCGCAGAAAAAGATTCAGGAGGTTTTTAAATTCAGTGTTCAAAAACTGATTGGGTTCAAAAGTGTTGTGCATCTTATGTAGTTTTTAGTGACATCTTAGCATTCAAATATGGCGGAAAACGTCTCGATACCCTCTATGAAAATCAACCCCAACATTTTTTACCAAATATCGGCTTTTGTCTGACCGTAATTTCTTTGGTAAAAATGGCAAATATCCTGTATTTGATATAGCAACTTCTAGAGTCCTGTAACCCCCCCAATCATCATCATCATCATCATCATTGTCATCCACCCATTCACACCCTGGCGGTCTGTGTTGGGAAAGTTTGTTTAAAAACGAACTAGTTCAAAGTTCAGTTCATACATGTTAAAATGAACTAGTTCATTTCTTAGTTCATAATTTAAAAACATTTTGAACTAAGTTCACTGTTCCAAAAACAAACTAGTTCATAATCCTTTTTTGCTCATATATATATATATATATATATATATATATATATATATATATATATATATATATATATACACATATATATATATATATACATATATATATATATATAACTTATGAAATTATTTTCCAATAGTTGGCACCCGTTCAGTCCACACTCATACCAGCTGCAGTTTTTACCCTACTGTATATTCTCAATAACATGAGGAAAACATTTGAACGGTTTTTGTAATGGGAAATTATTAAACAATCTTAGGAAGCAGGCTGAGGTAGCAAACTCAAAGTGCAATATTAAAAGTGCAAAACATTAAAAACTGTATAGTCTTTCAGTTAAGTCCTGTTTCAGTTTTTCTGATTGAACCTTGTATTAAGACATTCACTGAAAGAATCAGTGAATTGGGCGATCACATAAAGAACAAAACCTTGCTCTTGTGTGGAGACTTTAATATTAATATAGAGCTGCCTGCTGGACAGAAAACAAATGATTTCATCAATTCTATGTACAGTTTAGGATTATTTCCGTTAATCACCAAACCAACCAGGATCACAGCACATAGTGCTACTATAATTGATAATATATTTACAAATAAAAAAGATGATGTATTGAGGAGTGGGGTATTGATGGCTGATATTAGTGATCATCTGCCTGTCTTTGCAGTACTGAAAAATAAACAATTGATAAAGCAAGAAACCTCGTTAAATTACAAACGAGATAGATCATTTAGAGCATGGGACGCGCTAAAGAAGGATCTTGAAATGCAGAATTGGGAGGAAGTATATGTAAGGGATGTCAACACTGCATATAAGTCCTTCATGGAAAAATTGATGAAATTATATAATAATAACTGTAAATTATTCAAAAGTAGTGGTAAAAGGGTAAATCAACCATGGATGACTAAAGGAATAAGAAATGCATGTGCAAAAAAAAACCAGCTGTATAGGAATTTTTTAAAATCACAGACAAGAGTAACAGAAGACCGATATAAAAAATATAAAAACAAATTAATAGCAATAATTAGGAAAAGGAAAAAAGATTATTATGGTGAATTATTGGAAAAGAATAAGGCCAATACAAAGGCTACATGGGGAATAATAAATAGTGTGACGAACAGAAATAAAACTACATCTAAGGTACCAAATTACTTTGTCAAGGACAATGTAGACATTTATGATGTAAAAGAAATCTCTAATGAATTCAATGATTTTTTTGTAAATGTAGGGAGGAGTTTGATGGGTCATAACACTTTAATTGAAGACAATTTGAATACAGTAGTAAATAATGTCAGTAGTATTTTCCTTGGCAAAGTAGAAAAGGAGGAAATACGAGAAATTGTAAAAAACTGTGGAAATAAGCGATCAACTGATTGTGAGGATTTGGACATGATGACTGTAAAGACCATAATAGAATCTGTTATTGATCCTTTTACTTATATATGTAATTTGTCACTTTCTACTGGAGTCTTCCCTGATGCTATGAAAATAGCAAAAGTGGCTCCACTGTTGAAGAATGGTGATAAACATAATTTCACAAATTATAGGCCAGTGTCACTACTTCCACAGTTTTCCAAAATACTAGAAAAAGTCTTTGCATCACGGTTGGATAAATTTATTGAAAAAAATATGATCTTACATAATGAGCAGTATGGATTCAGGACCCAACATTCAACAACAATGGCAATAATGGATTTAACAGAGAAAATATCTGAAGCAATAGACAATAGAGAATACTTTATTAGTGTTTTTATTGACTTAAAGAAAGCTTTTGATGTTATCGATCATTCAAGGTTACTGCAAAAATTATATCAGTATGGAATACGAGGGGTTGCTCATCAATGGGTCAGAAGTTATTTAGATAACAGAAAGCAATATGTTCAGATAAATGGCATTACATCAGAGCTACGAAATATTGCTTTTGGAGTGCCACAAGGGTCGGTCCTTGGACCAAAATTGTTCAACCTGTATATCAATGATTTGGTAAATGTGTCTGACAAACTAGGTTCTGTTTTGTTTGCAGATGATACAACACTGTTTTATTCAGGGTCTGATATAAATGAAGTAACTCATGTGATAAATATTGAACTGATAAAAGTTAAAAACTGGTTTGATATAAATAAATTAACACTTAATCTTAAAAAAACTATTTTCATTCTATTTAATGACAAAGAAAATATAGACGTAATATTAAAAATAGATAACATGGAAATTCAAAGGGTAAAAGAAATCAAATTTTTGGGAGTAATGATTGATGAAGCTCTAAGCTGGAAATCACACATAGGCTATATAAAAGGTAAAGTGGCCAAAGCCATTGCAGTATTATATAGCGTAAAGTTTTTACTAAATAGTGAAGGATTGTTTTTACTATACAATGCACTAATTCTGCCATACTTAAATTACTGTGTAGAAATCTGGGGAACTGCATATAGAACGTATACACAACCTTTGTTTGTTTTGCAGAAAAAAGCAATGAGAATTATAGACAACACTCATAGTACAGCTCCATCTAATCCATTATTTATAAAATATAAAGTAATTAAATTTCATGATTTGGTCAACTGGAGAATATTGCATATAATGTATAAAGCAAATAAAGGTACATTGCCAAAGAATATTCAGCATATATTTGAAAAGAGAGATAGCATTTATTCGTTGAAGGGATTTGAAATCTTCAAAAAACCTAAATTTAGAACAAGAATGAAGGAAATGAGTATATCTGTGAATGGTGTGAAGTTGTGGAATTGCCTGGACAGAGAATGGAAAGAGTCAAGAACTCTAAAAGTGTTCAGTCTACACATTAAATCACATGTGTTGAGTGGATATGACAACGGACAATTGATGTGGACATAATAATTAACAAATGTGAACAGTTACGGGACTGAAAGAACTGGTGAGGGACTGCACAAATATAAATTGATATTTAAGTTTAAAAAGGGGGTAGAAATAATAAGATTTTTCTTCTATCTGCTCCCTTTCATTCAAATATATATTGTGTTTTCATGAATATTGTTTAGTGTCTGTTGTGTTATTTTTTATTGAATGAAATAAAGATAATTAAAAATAAAAATAAAAATAAAAATAAAAAAACCTTGAGTCCTCCAGTAGACGCCGCACCAAGCGCTACAGCCCATGTTTGGCCGCATTTGCGGTGTTCTACTTTTTATAAACTCTATGGTTAACAGGATGTTTTAGCTAGGCTTTAGCTCCGGAAAAGCTCCTTGGAGATCTGGAGCTAGAACGACGAAAGAACGAGTTCATAAACCCGTTCACGCACGCCAGGACGAACACGCTCACTTTTACGTTCATCAGGCAAAATACAAACGAGTTCAGTTCACGTTCACAAAAAAAAAAGAACAAATTCATGAACGATCGTTCAATGAACGCATTCAGGCAGAACACTGCTGGTGGTGATGAGCTACGATGTAGCCACAGCTGCCCTGGGGGGTGCTGACAGAGGCGGGTCTGCCGTACATTGGTGCCACCGGTCCCTCCGACCACCACCAGCAGGCAAGGCGGATTAAGTGTTTTGCCCAAGGTCACAACAGCAGCCTTCTCTCATCAGCATTAGAAAAGACCAATAGCAGTGGAACTCTATTCAGAATATTATTTACATGTTGAATTCTCATTGTTTTTACTGCTGGTGAAACAAAAAATCTGTTTCTCTCTTTGTCTCCAGTGAAATACATGCGTGAGGCTACACCTTACGTCAGAAAGGGCTCTCCCGTGTCAGAGATCAGCTGGGAGACTCCTCCTCCTGAGTCTCCCCGTCCCAGCAGCCCTACCATCACCTCCCCCTTCTCATCCGACTCTCCCAGCTCTCCTACCCTTCCCTCCCTGTCACTGAACAGTGACAGGAGGTACATACCGTTGAAGATGTGTTATGCAACACGAGCCATGACCAAACCTGATCCGGAGAACAGGTAGGTGGAAACTCACAATGTTAAACACACGAGCCACACTCCTGGATGTGACATCCCTCAGGATTTTCATCCTCCTGTTAATAAAGATGATGTTGAATCAGTTTAGCCTTTAAAACGATGAAACGGGCTGGTGAGATTCAGAGGAAGCACAGGAAACTTGTGTTTTAAATCTAGAAATGTGAAATGTGTAGGTCAAATCATGCTGGATGTCCTGATTAACCCAACATGAATAAGATTAATACTTTAGATGTGTGTTTGGGTTCTGAACATAGGTCAGGTCAATGGGCCAATCTAACACTAACCCATCGCCGTTCAGTTTTCATAAAAGCACTTTTCTTTACTCGTCAGTCTTGTGACTATGAATCCTGTTATTCTAATGAAGTATGCCAATCAAGGATACAACCATAACTGTAGACACATTAAATTATTTAGTCAAACCACTCAGAAATAAAAACAATGACTAACTCACCTTGCATCATTGACAGAATAGAGCCAATTCAAACAAAGCCTTTCTTTTTACAAGAGTCCAATGAAAATAGTTAGTCCACAACATGTCCTACATCAACAAACATTCAAAATGAACTTCAAATGCCTCTCTTTTACCCATAATCTCCATTAGCATCGTCATATTTGCATCAGATTTTGGGGCTACATCAGTGGTTCCCAATCTGGGATCTGTGGACCCCCAAGGAGATCCCCACAACATTCCAAAAGCTCCCAACATTTAGTCTGTACTAAGGTTGTGAGGTTACCAAGATGATATTTGTAAAAATAATAATAATAATAAAGCATTAATATAATATCAGCAGCATTTCTAATTAGGGATGCAACATCACTGGTATCGGTATTGGGCCGATACCAGTGTCGGTATCTGTAAAAGTTAACCGACACCGATGCAGTTGCCTGAAAGTGGCTTTGCTGAAACTTGTCATTTCTGTCACAACTTCTATTAATATATTTTATTTTTTATCTACCTCACAGTCTTTTCCTGTTGAAAGCAGAGAAGAAAATAAAACCTGTATTCCAATTCATTGCATTTTTTTTTTTTGTGTTAGAAGTATCAGTATAGGTTTTGGTGAGTACTCAGATCCAAGTATCGGTATCGTATCGGTTTAGGGAGAAAAAAAAGTGGTATTGATGCATCCCTACTTCTAATAGTATAATCACAAGTCAGAGTCAAAACTCTGCATATCAGCATAAAGCGTGCAACTAAGCATTTTTAATGTGTGTATGTAGGTAGGGGTTGGGGGTCCTGGCTTGTCTTGGACACAGGTAAGGGGGTTCTTGTGGGAAAAGGTTGGAAACAACTGATCTACATAATTCACATATACAGTACCTGATCTAACAGTGGAAGTGTCACACCCTCTGCTGAGGCAAAAGCCTCAACCATTGGCCGATAGGCAGCAAATACTGCCCCCCATTCTCGCGTGGAGCTCAAACCAATCATCGCCCAGTACATGGTTGATTGATGCATCAAATAGTCAATAAAATTTCTAAAACAACGATGTCAAGCATGAGTGAAATTATCAGAAAACATCTTGATGAATGCTCGGAAGGATTTTAGATACAAACCAACTTTAGTCTTGACCCAAACCACAAGACGATGGACGCTCTGCAGCCCTTTAGTGACTGATTCTCTACAGCTCAAACCCAGAAAGGACTCTGAACTCCACTCGTGGCTTTTACATAATCTCCTGCTTTCAGTCAGAATTATTCATTCATTTCTTTTGACTAAAATCACCTAACAGCGTTTTCTTTTTCAACCTTTGAAATTGTATAACCAACAACGTTTCAAAATTGTTGGGGATTCAGTTTGTTGAAGGCAATCCAACAGATTCCTACTGTTCCACGGAACAGAGATCTGCTGAAAACTGTTGCAATAAAACTGTAATGTCCCATGATGCATTTTAATGTTAGGGGATGTTTTAGCTCTGAAGTGAATCTTTTTACTTTCCTTCATACCAAAAAGGTGAAAATGCAATAAACCCCTTGTGTGGGTTTAAGTCAGAGTGGGATGATTTTATCATGGGAATCTAATCAGAACGGATAGTCTTTGCTCTTGTTTGTCACTCCTCCTCTGCTCTTTAATATCTGCCCCCAGGTCTACAATTTCCATCTGTCTTAAAGTGTATTCGCTCAGTCTTTCTAAACCCATTTTTCCTTTTGGAAAGGCATTAGAAGTAGCGCTCAGACAGTTCTCAGTGGGGGTGGAGTGTTAGGAGGTGTCATTAAGCTAATGGTTTGGTAATTTGACTGGCTCGGTCAAACAGCGTGGGGTTACACATGAGTGATTTACTACCACTTCTTCCTCTTTCACTCGGTCCGTGTTCTCCAGTTCAGTTTGTTTCTTTTCTGTGTGTGAGACTTTCTCCTAGTTAGTTTCATTTTCAATCTTTAGTTTTTATTTAGCTACTGTTCCCTCCCATCATCGGCTCTCCTGGGGAAAATGAGATATTCTGTCCTTTGGCCACTTTCCATTTCTTTTCTTTTTCCTACCACAACTGGTTTATTTGAGACTCCTACTATTTTCACATCAGTGCTGAATCTCTGAAATGAAAAAGGGAGACAAGAGGACAGGGCTGTAACAAAGACAGGACACAGGTGGGAAAAACCAGCATAATTATGGAAGTGAACCAGTCTGGGAAGTAAAACGAGACAAAAAACCTAATAGGAATCATCTCACTCTGTCATTACTCTGTTTTCACTTGATCACATCCTGTTACAGGAGAAAATCTCCCACTGCGAAGGGCGAAGTGAGCCGCCATCACGCGGAAAGTCGCTGTTGTTCATCGATGTGGGAAAGAAAACAAAATGCACAGCTGCTTTCAGCAAAATTTAAAATTCAAGATTAGAGTTTGGGACCTCATAATTATCGGAAACAGCCTTGTTTTTCATAATTATTCAAAAATATAGTGAAGCTATTTTTGAGGGTGTGTGTGTGTGTGGTGGAGGTGGGGGCAATTAGTTGGCTGAAATACATAATTATTGCATTTTAAGCTATGTTTTTATTTTTATTTTAGAATTATGAAAAAAATAAATTCTTTGGCTTCTCTGGTGCATGAAAAGGATTATCGCGATTTCCCCACAGTTTTACACAACAATCCTTCCTCCCAAGTCCCAGCTGTTCTTTAAAAGATTCTTCCTGAAGAAATTAGACATCTTTTTTTTTTTTTTTGAGAGGGAGAGAATGAATTTAGCTCTGCTCCCTGTGGCTTTGAGGCTGTAAAGCAGGGGTGCCCAATCCTGGTCCCGTCGGACCGGTGTCCAGCACGTTTTTGTTTTAACCCTACTTCAACACATCTGATTTCAATCAGCAGGTGATTTACAGGCTTCTGCAGAGCCTGATGAGCTGCTGAACCACCGAATCAGGCGTGTTGGAGCAAAGAAACCAGTAAAACATGCTGGCCCCCCAGGATTGGGCACCCCTGCGGTAAGACTGGTTTTGATGACATGAACCCATCCCTGACCTGACGCAGAATGTCTGCTGGAATTGCATTAATTTTATTTTAGAGGTTTCATCCTAATAAACACAATTACACTTGAAACTCAATCACAGGTGGATGAAACCTTCACATAAACAATGAGCAACGCATTGAACCACGAGCACTTCAGAGTTGAACATTGACTTTGTTGCACATAACTTTAACTTTATGGGTGAGTTATACAAGAAGTTAAGGCCAATATCTCACTGGAGCGCTGAGGTTATGCTGCACACAGATAACTGTTTAGTAGACGCATAAAGCTTTAGAGAAGATTTGCACACACAGATAAAAACCTTGGTGAAAATGACCTCTAGCAGGTTTTATATGTTATATTCTTATTTCACAGCCAGGACAATAAATACTCAGTGAATGTTTAAATGGTAAAACACCCAAGTTGGACTGTTATCAGCTGTACTTATTCCATAAACAGAGACTCACATTTAGACAGGAGAGCTGGACGATATCTCAGACTCTTAATGTCCCCAGATGATTAGCTGGAGTTAGAGATTGCAGATCAAGGCTGTTTCCTTATTTGGATTTCAAGCATCAAATTGTTTAGGAGGCTTTATGTTAAGTGACAGAAATGTCTGGCAGGATTTTCTGGCTCTCTCTAAGGGGTTTCTCTTCCATTTCACCAGATGTTGTTTAAACCACGTTTAAGCCTGAGAGGAAACGCAGAAGAGCGGGAACACATACGGAGATGAAACGAGCTGATAAAAGACAAAGGGAAAGGAAGAGTTGAACTGTGGAGTAAAGACTCAACTCGTAAAAATTCTACTTTTGTTTTTGTGTGTAAGAATCTGGCGACAGCACTTTATGGTAAAAATAGAAACAGTGGTTTCCATCTTTAATGCAGAAGGTCAGTTTGGATTAGAATAAGCCTCCAGGGAAGACTTGAATGACCATTTTACTATTGCTCATAGTGAATTAGTCGGTGAAGATAGAAATGCCTTTTTGCATTTTTGTGTCAGTCCGATGCACCACGGCCGTCGTAGCTGATCTGCATTAGCAAACACACAAAAATGGCTTCTTCCTAGTAAATTTTACAGATATTCAGCCCACATCACTCACGTTAGTCGCTGAGAGTGAAATGCTAACAGATTCCAGAGAGATTGTTCAGTATTTCATGGGTGCAGACAAAATGCTCAATTGAAGATTCAACCAGAATAACGGTGATGCTGTTTTATCCTCAACAAAAGATGATCTTAGATTTAAACTCTGTTGTGAAAGGCGCTATAAAGGTGCGATGCTTTCCTTGAAGGAATGCCAGGCCTCTTAGTTATTTTAGTCAACAAATCTGGAGGGACAGATTTGTTCAGCTGAAGCATGGCCGTCATCTAGATGTTCTGTTCTTACACTGATCTCTGTTTCTTAAGCATGCAACGGTCCAAATCACTCCACCTATGGAAACCCTTTGTTTAGATTTTGACAGTAAAGTTGCTGCTGTGTGTTTGGTTGAGGGGGTTGTATAATGGAATAAATTCTGTCATACACACATCTGGGATTGGATTTTCTTCCTCCTGCTCTTTTCCAGCCTGTTTTTCATCAACTTGCTTTTTCACAGAAGCCAGTTCTAAATTTGAACCTGGAGTAGTACCTGGAGCTAATCCAATCGAGATGTACTTTCCTGCTTCCAGTGGTGTTGTAGAGGTGTGTGTGTGTGTGTGTGTGTGTGTGTGTGTGTGTGTGTGTGTGTGTGTGTGCGTGCGTACGTGCGTGCGTGCGTAAAGAAGAAGCATGTGTGTGAAGTCCTCCTGAGTTTAAATGTGTTTCTCTTTTTTAAAGTAGCATGTTGACAGAAGCTTACATAGTTGTGCCAAACTATTTGTTGTATCAAAAGCTGTCACCCCCCTGTGGCCATCTTCAGTGTGGCGATTCGCCACCTTTTGACGCAGAAAAAAAATTGAGCTGACATACTTGGTGCTGCAGTCTGCTTCCAACATGTTTCCTGTAAGTTTTAGATCATGAACACAGCTGGTTTGTTTAAATTTGTGATGAATCACTTCTGTAGACACTAAGAAAGCCTGGTGAGATGAGTCACCTGTTACATTATGGTGTTGAAAATGAACGTACAGCGAGGAGGCAGGTTTTGCCTTCGGTTCTACAAACGAACACTAGGGGGTGCCGAAAGCAAGCCAAAATTGCCTAAATCCCCTTAATGCCTTGTAAGTTGAACTCGGTGGGGTGGGGTGTCAGCGGTGCACCATTTACAAGCCACATCGCAGCTGAGCTTCAGGCCGGAAGTTTTGGAGTCTTATTTCCTGATCTCGTCTCTGATTGGCTAACAGCAACACGACCCTTCTACTGACTTTGTTTGCTCTGCAACATTGGTATTTTCTCTCCATAAATAACACAAGCCTGGAGGAGTTCTGCTGTGTGGTGGAGCTGCTAATGCTAGTAGTTAGTTTCTGCTAGCCAAGACGTCCTCTGCTGTTTCCTGGAAGCTAAACCAACAAAAGCCATCCCTGTCAAGCGAGTCCATGAATGTTAAGTGACAGTGTAACATAGATCTGTCAGGCTTTTCAAATCCTAGAGTTTCACCACCTATTATCTACCAGAAGCTAAAGCAGCAGATTTTCATGTTAAGCCTGACAAACATGCTTGAAAAACTCGGTGACAGATTATAACCAGAAATACAATTTTTAAAATGTTTTTTCAGTGTTCCACACCTTTAGTATTGCCAGCTAAAAATGCACCCTGCTATAAGGCCATTTATATGCATACATCTGCATAATTTAAATATCTTAAATCTGTTTATTTGATTGTTAAAGCCCATTTTTACATAAATAAAAGCTGTTGTCACCTGTGGTTCTAACTGAATTTTGTTTGTAGTGTTTTTGTCTTTTCAGAATTTTCAAAGAATCCATGTTTTTCAAATAAGTCTCAGCTTGATGCTAACTCTTACCGTCACTTGCCTTTTGAATCTGACTCGACAATATTTGTTTAACGAATAAATAATTTGCACTCCTTGTTTGAAATCATATTTTTCCTCCTCCTATATGTTCTCCTGTGAAGCAGCTTACCTTTCCTTCAACACGCCTGTCTTTGTTACTGATTGGAGAATTTTATGCTGCAGTGTAAAGTAACAGTTCACTGCATCGTTGTGCATTGTCTGTAGCCACTTGTGCCGTTTTTAAATTCACGCACAATCAGTGCAACATTCAGAGAGGCTGAGAAATGCATACTTCTCCTCTCAAGGCCAGAAACGCTCCTGTGTGATGTATGCAGATTATTTATGGAAATTCAATGGGGGAATAATAAAAACAACAAGGTGTCTGCATCTGGCCCACGCACAGTGAACAGCCGATTTCTTTACAGTGTTTCCATGAATTAGCTGAAATTTCAAGACACTGTTGCAACTTTGATTGAGTGCCTGTAATGAAGTAGAAGGGACAAGTGGAACATCTGTTAAAGCTGAAATGTAATTGGCTAACGTTTGGTTTCTGAAGCTATAATTTGAGACAGATTTTGGGCTGTTTGATTAAAATATTGTTTCCCTCCTAAGAGAACGGAGAGGTTTACGCTCTCCTAACCTCTCTTATCTCCTCCCCCAGACAACTGGAGCTGCACAGTCCCGATACCAGACACACCATAGTTCTCCGCTGCCCGGACCAACCATCTGCCCTGTCCTGGTTCTCTTCCATGCACTCGGTCACATCCATGCTGGCACAGGTCTGTCTTTAATCCGACTCATTTCCCAGGAAGCTCTTATCGTCAGTGCATACCATTAGCTGTGTCGGTGGTTTTCTGTTTGGATCAGAGCTGCTTTAAATATTATGCATGTTTCAAAATAAGCATCCAACTTTAAACTGCCCCCCCCCCCCCCCCCCCCCCCCCCCCACACACACACACACACACAGCAAGCACAGGCGGAGGTCGTCCAGAATACATCCAGGACGGGGATTGCTGGCAGCAAAGAGATTCGACACCTGGGATGGCTGGCAGGGAAGGTAGGTGTGTGTGTGTGTGTGTGTGTGTGTGTCAGAGAAATGGCTCCTTTCTATTTAAACATTTGGGATTTTTCTTTATTCTGGAAACTGATTTAGTCCTAAAATAATAGACTATGAGATTAAAGACTCAGTTTCAGTTGTGTGTAGTTTTAAGGTTTAGAGGATGCTTTAAATGAGTTGTGGTTACAGGTCATCAATAGCTGTTTTCACTACTGGAACTTCAGGGTAGATTTACAGGAACATCCCAGCATGCGCTTGTCTCCACTTGGCCGGGCCGGTCGATCGGCCGTTTTCCGGGACCATCTGAGTACCTGCTCAGGGGTAGGTACTCTGAACGGCCCATTGGAGTAGCTGAGAGAAACCTCTGGTTAACTCAGGCTGATTAGTTGTAACAGTAGGAAATCATCAGTAGGAATCAGAAGACGTTGACCAAAACCACCGGCGTTAGTAAAATTAGAAGAGTTTCTGGTGAAGCAGAATGAAAGCAAAGGGCAATAAGCACCGATTGCACATAAAATCTAACTACCGACACCAGAAATCACGGGGAAATTCCTCCACAGACTTAATTTACGAAGCTTTGTATCCTCACAGAATGCTGTAAAATACGGCACTTCTTCTGGTCATTGAACACCACATTTTACATCACACATCTGAATGGATTAAATTATAATATACTTTGACAGAATAAATGCTTTTAATGTTACTAGTGTTACTGTGGATGCTTTTTTTTGGCGCTGATCAGTGACATCACTCACCGCCAACGCCGTTACGATATGCTGACGTCTGTGCAAAGTTCTGAAACGGCTGAGAGGACCAGGACATCGTTTCTCCTGGTCAGCTTCCCCGTCCCAGGAATTACCCTGGAGTTCCCGTAATGGAAATGCAGCTAATGAATGTGACATCCTCTCGCAATGATTCTGAAACTTCTGCTTCAGACTCACGAAATAGAAATTGTTGAGATGTGCAACCTCAGGTTTCTCAGATTTTACCACACAAACATGCTTTAAAAGCTTGATAATTAGGGCATGAAGAAAAATGCTTCAGCTCATGTTCAGTTACTTCCATTTATGTCAATTTAGTTGAGTTTTTGTAATAATTCTGCTACAAGTATAGCTTCAGCAATTGTGTTTTTTTTATTCTGATTTCTGGAAATCATCTTAAGAAGCCCTGTGTACTTCTTGGTAGAGGCCGATCGATATGGGGTTTTTAAGGTCGATGCCGATACCGATTTTCAAAGGATTTTGTTGCCGATGGCTGATATCTAAAGCCAATTCTTAAGGCCAATATACGTCCTTCTCAAAAAATTTGCATATTGTGATAAAGTTCATTATTGTCTGTAATGTACTGATAAACATGAGACTTTCATATATATTAGATTCATTACACACAACTGGAGTAGTTCAAGCCTTTTATTGTTTATAATATTGATGATTTTGGCATACAGCTCATGAAAACCCAAAATTCCTATCTCAAAAAATTAGCATATTTCATCCAACCAATAAAAGAAAAGTGTTTATAATACAAAAAAATGTCGACCTTCAAATAATTATGTTCAGTTATGCACTCAATACTTGGTCGGGAATCCTTTTGCAGAAATGACTGCTTCAATGCGGCGTGGCATGGAGGCAGTCAGCCTGTGGCACTGCTGAGGTGTTATGGAGGCCCAGGATGCTTCGATAGCGGCCTTAAGCTCATCCAGAGTGTTGGGTCTTGCGTCTCTCAACTTTCTCTTCACAATATCCCACAGATTCTCTACGGGGTTCAGGTCAGGAAAGTTGGCAGGCCAGTTGAGCGCAGTAACACCATGGTCAGTAAACCATTTAGCAGTGGCTTTGGCACTGTGAGCAGGTGCCAGGTCGTGCTGAAAAATGAAATCTTCATCTCCATAAAGCTTTTCAGCAGATGGAAGCATCTCCTGATAGCTAGCTGCACTGACCCTGCCCTTGATAAAACACAGTGGACCAACACCAGCAGCTGACGTGGCACCCCAGACCATCACTGACTGTGGGTACTTGACACTGGACTTCAGGCATTTTGACATTTCCCTCTGCCCAGTCTTCCTCCAGACTCTGGCACCTTGATTTCTGAATGACATGCAAAATTTGCTTTCATCTGAAAAAAGTACTTTGGACCACTGAGCAACAGTCCAGTGCTGCTTCTCTGTAGCCCAGGTCAGGCGCTTCTGACGCTGTTTCTCGTGGCTTGACCTGGGGAATGCGGCACCTGTAGCCCATTTCCTGCATACTCCTGTACACTGTGGCTCCGGGGTCCACAGCTTCACATGCGGTGTGCCTCAGGGTTCAATTCTAGGCCCAGTGCTTTTTAACCTCTATACAGTGGGGCAACAAAGTATTTAGTCAGCCACCGATTGTGCAAGTTGTCCCACTTAAAATGATGACAGAGGTCAGTAATTTTCATCATAGGTACACTTCAACTGTGAGAGACAGAATGTGAAAAAAAATCTATGAATTCAAATGGCAGGATTTTTAAAGAATTTATTTGTAAATCAGGGTGGAAAATAAGTATTTGGTCAATAACAAAAATTCAACTCAATACTTTGTAACATAACCTTTGTTGGCAACAACAGAGGTCAATGAAACGCTCTCCATTGGTAATAGGTATGATCATGGGCTCCCTTAAGACTTAAAATAGGGCAGCTAAGTAACTGTATAATATCTTTAATAAAATATTGTGTTCTTTTTTCAAGATTTAAAATAAACATTACTTTTAGTCACATTATTGCATCTTCTTATATTTTCACATATTTGTGTTGATTTTAAATGTATTTAGTGGCTTAAATTCTCTAATGTCAGTCTTATTTAGATACAGCATGCATGATCTGTGTTTAGCTATTTCTTTTCATTGACTGAGTTACAAGTGCAGCATATTTTAAAACCTTTTGCAAACTGCAGCAAATGAAGGACTTTTCAAATCCGGCTGTTTTAGAGAAATAGCTAATTTTATCATATAATTTACAGTTCAGTCCATGTCAGCTGTGTGCCTTAAAGAATTTGTATTTTTGGATTCAACATTGTTTTTTTATTGTGTAAATAGGGGAAATAATCCATGCTTGTATATGTGCATGTGTGGTTGCATCATGGGTTGCATGCTTCACACAAGCAAGCACAGACAGATAGAGCTTCACTCCTTTGTACATAATAAAACACCTGTGCAAACACACACACACACACACACACACACACACACACACACCTATATCTGTTTAATTTAGTCCTCACGCATTTGCCGATACTTTATCCTCCAAATGCGGTACAATACTGTTACTTAGCAACATATCCTCGTTATGTTAAAACGATGACCCTTAACCTTCTGAATCTCAGAGTGTGATTGGTTGAGGCAGAACTTCAAAGAGCAGCTTAGGATTCCAGATAAGCTCTCATTATGAGAATACTTCTGCAGCATTGTCACATAAAAAAACGCATGAATGTGCCTCTTTTTGTGTGTGTTTACACGTGTGTGTGTGTGTGTGTGTGTGTGTGTGTGTGTGTGTGTGTGTGTGTGTGTGTGTGTGTGTGTGTGTGTGTGTGTGTGTGTGTGTGTGTGTGTGTGCGCGCCCGCGTGTGTGTGTGTAAGTGGTACGCTTGTAGGTGAGTGAGTGAGGGGGCACAGCACAGCAGATGGATAAGTATAACTGCATCTGAACACCTTCCTTTTTAGCTCATTCCCTTTTGGATACACAATAGTGAATTTAAATACATGTTTTGGTGGAACCGACACACATTTTGCACACCAAACACACACACACACACACACACACACACACACACATCACCAGCCCTCTCTCTGATTTAAGTGTTTGTGAAAAAATATAAAAGAGCGTACTTCAGACTGTGCTGCAGGAAAGTAATCAAATTCAAAACAAGTGACCTGCCAGGATAAATTGTTTGGTTAATCTCTCGGCATTGCTTTGTCATGTGTTTGGTTATAATTATTCATTTGTCGAGGACCTTTCAAGTGTTTTTGTCTTTGTTAGGCCTCTATGCTCAAATTTGATTTGCAAATGGGAAGATATGTCTCTCCCCTGTGAATTTTGTAATGACTATTAAAGTAACAGTTACATACGCACGCACGCACGCACACACACACACACACACGCTAGGAGTTCTGTAACCACTTTAATAAAGTGAAACAGTAACCCATTTAAGCAAACAGGAGGCTTTCTACAGGCTTTGGCAAGTTTTGTTTCATCTCACTATCCAGTGAACTAATCTGTTAATAAAACCACTGACCAGAAGAAAGAGCATTTTATTTATTTGTTTATTTCAGTTTTCATTTGAATCAAAGCCCTTCATTACTCAGCAGATGGGAGGATGGGAGCAGCTGTTCCCTCCTCATTGTTGATCTGTTTGTGTCGCAGACGGAGAGTGAGAAACAGAGCTGGAAGCCGGTGCTGGTGGTGGTGACGGAGAAAGACCTGTTGCTGTACGACAGCTTACCGAGAGGAAAAGAGGCCTGGCAGAGCCCGGCACACACCTTTCCACTTTTAGCCACACGGTGAGTCCAAAACAAAAAAAGCTGATTATGTGTGCTGAAAAATGTTTTCCTGCTTCTCCTCATCAAATGTGTGAATGGATGAATGTAGCCTTGTCCACTCCGGGCCTGACCGGGGTTCACCTCACTCCGGCACGGAGCTGTTCTTCGCCACTCGGACCGGCACACGACTTGGCATTGAAAGTCACCTTTTCCGAGCTGAGACCACCAAGGATCTGTCCCTTTGGACCAGGCACATAGTCAACGGATGCCACTCATCAGCTGAGATGATCAAAGAAGTCACAACAAGTGAGTCTCGAGACAATCGTTGTTCAGGTTCATCAAAACGGATGTTTTTAATATTGCTTCAGATGCACAGAAGCAGAAAAGCTCACAGGGATTTGCACCAGGTCACTTTGCTGGATTGAGCTACGCCTCCTATAAGCGCGTTCCAGCTTTCAGTGACATAAACCATCCGGGGAGATTTGAGGCCACAGCGCTAAGCACTGCCTTAGGTCAAGAAATCCTAAATCTACAATATAAAGCATCATGCTTACATACAGACTCCCACATCCCGGGAGACGGAGCGGGGTTTGAGATATAATGTGACAGCCAAATGGAGGATGCAGACAAAGCACTTACTATTTATAGGAAAGAATGATATTTAAGCATCAGCTCGTGCTGTTTGGTACAGAGTATTGGTCGTTTAGAGAATTGCGGCAAAATATCCCCACTCTTCCCTCGTGGCCGGCCTCATTCAGCACGGACCGTCCTGGGAAATGTTTTTCCTCCCCTGGGTCCCTCCTCCTTTGTGGAAAAGTCGGGTTCACCTCAGATTCTTCTATCTGGGAGGCAGCATGCGTCACAGCTTTACCTTTTTGTTGTCTGTTTAGTTTCTCTATCATTCATCATCTAACTCCTGGTCAACTTTGCACCGATTCAGGTGAAAAATGCATTCTCTAATTAGCGTGATGGAGTTTTGTGAACTTCTGCAAATTTTAACTCAAAACAAACTTCTGCAGCTTGGTGGTTGTGTATGACATTTGACTCTGGTGGCTGAAAGCCTGTCAAGGCTGGTAAGTATCTAGCAGCAGCAGCAGCAGTAATAGTAGTAGTAGTAGTAGTAGTAGTAGTAGTACCATTGGTGTGAGTAGTTAAGAACCATTCCATAACAACTTTATAGCACTAAAGCACCTGAAGGACCAAAGTGCTGTACACAGAACAATAAAAACAACAGAATCAACAATAAAACCAGAACCTAGAATAAAAAAACAGCAAGAAAGTAAAAACGATAAACTGAGCAGAATCAAATAGGGTTGAAAACAAACAAATAAAATGCAGTTAAAGCCGACATCTCGGATGGTGTCAAAACCAGAGAGATGAGGTGGGTCTTCAGCAGTGGTTTATCAGACATTTAAGAGGCCTGTCGGATATTTAAAGGAAGGTCTTTCCACAATCTAGGAGCTGCTGCAGCAAAAGCTCAATCTCGTCTAAGCTGGTGCTTCGTCTTTGGGACAGTCAGGAGCAGCTGATCAGCTGGCCTGAGGGAACGGGAGGAGATATATGGGTGTAGACGCTTAAGTAAGGTATGGTGGGGAAATGAGGAGATTTAAAAGCACATAAAATAATTTTTAAATGAATCCTAAAAGGAATTAGTGCAAAGAATACAGAACAAAGGAGATGTGATCAAGCTTCCCTGTTCTGGTTAAGAGGTGGGCAGCAGCATGTTGTACTCTCCGAAGCTGAGAGATGCAGGTGTCACTTAGTCCTACATGAAGACCATAGCATTAGTGCAGCCGAGTCGTAACAAAGGCGTGGAATAATCCTGGGACAGGATTGGCTTTGCCAGCTTCTTTAAATGTAAAAATCTAGATTTAACAAGCGATCTGATGTGGTTGTTGAGCGGAAACACTTCTTCTACTCCCGTTTGTGTTCATTCCGCGTGTCATTCCTATTGGAGATACGCTATCTCAGCTCCCGGGTAAATGAAAACATCTGTGAGCATTCGCAGGACTTTTACGTCAAGCTTCTGCAGAATTCTCTCTGTTTTTTTTTTTTTTGTGCCAAACTGTGTTGGAGCATGCTGTGAACACAACCCTCAGATAGGACTATGGTGGTACTGGATTGTGGAGGATTTGAACATGTTGATGATGTTACAAAGCAGAGAGATTAGAGTCTATGGGAGACATTGTTTCATGTGTACAGCTGTGGAGCACTAGTTTAATCGATGCATTTGCAGTAGGAATGAATGTCGTACTCGGGTGGGAAAATAAGCTGAGGAAGTGCCTGTGTCAGCAGGGAGAAGTCAGCTGGAGATGTTTGGAGTCTTATTTCCTGATATTTGGAAATCTCTCCTCGGATTGGATAACAGCAACGCGACTGTACTACTGACTTGCAACGTGAATGTTTTATCTTCACAAATAACACAACTCTGGAGGAGCTTCTGCTGTGCGCTGAAGTCGTTAATGCTAACAGTTAGCTTCTACTAGCTGACACTTCTTCCATCTACTGGACGCCAAAACGACAACCGCCTTCCCCGTCATGAGTCCAGATCAGTGAGTCCAAGCTACAGTGTGACGTGGATCTGTCAGGCTTTTCTAATTCTAATCAGAACCTGATGCTGGAGGTAGACGTGGGAGACTATTTTCATGTATAGCCTGCATGGAAAACCTCAGAGTGACTGATAATAATCAGACATATTCATTAAGAGATGGGTTTTCAGTGAGCCACACCTTTAAGGATCGTTTCCGCCCAGACCGCTTTGGATGTGACACAATTCAAGCCTGATCACTCATAGAAAAAGTTATTTTAATATACTAATGATTTTCTCTGTCTTTTTAAGTTTTAGTGAGTTGGTCATTTGACGGCAGGCTGTAACAGAAGTTTAGTGTGGGTGTCTACAGAAATAGCTGAATTATATTTTTGCCATTTTGCCCACTCCAACTTAACATAATATTGTTTCTTTTGAACTGATACAGAAAAAGATGTCCTATAATAACTTATACCTGTAAATAAATGATTCTCATATCTTATTGATCCAATGGTCTCTTAAAGAGAAAGTTTTCAGATGACCCGACAACCCCAGTTTAACCGACAGTATTACAAATATATGAAATCATGAGCCAGAGCCCTAATGGGTTAGAGTAAAAGAGACCGTAGGACTTATGAGAACAAGTAATGGTTTTATGATTTCTTTTTAAAGAAACTCAGCTTTTTATATTTTTATTATGAGTATTTGTTGAAGACAGAAGATTTTTGGAGCCAGCACTTTGCTACGGTCATTGGTTTTCTACTTAAAGCACCACAATACTGACTTCTTATCATGCAGTAGATCATTCGTACAACACAGACACTCACAGTTCCTGGCGTTAATAATCACTGTCAGCAGAAAACCCCTAATAGGATGGTGGTGTTAGATGAGGGGTCCTAAGTTCACTTCATCGCTGGAAAAATGAAATCTACAACAATCCATCTCTCTGCTGTTGGGTCTACCTTCTCAAAAAGAAGTTTCGCTTCATAATAAGTTGAAAATAAACCTTAAAGCTATTTTATTTCTATAATTGGAGTTTAGAAGACAAGTAATGAGAAATATATGAAAAGTATAGTTATGGTCTCTGTTAATTATCAAATATATGTCTAAATTGGATTTTCTAACTCTTGAAACTCTAATGCATGCTCTAATTCTCAGTTTCATGCTTTGGAAGTCGGGAAGTCATTTACGGCTCGCTGATGAGGAGTATGATATTGCATACGAAGTGCATTTGCTCTTTTTTAAGCAGTTACCACTCGACGAGTCATTACACTGACCTTATCGGCTTCTTATCTTTGTGAGATCCTAAACTCTACAGCTTTATTCCCCGTCAAAGCTTACAATGAAGATTTCTTCTGAAGTAGATTAACTCTCACTCAGCAGGCAGCTTCCAATTCTAGTGGGATTTTAAAGGGAAAATTCATTTGTTCAGCTCCTAAATCAAATTTCACCAGTTCTTGGCCTTCTGTCATATCAGTTAAATAGAATAGAATTGAATAGAATAACCTTTATTGCCATTGCAACAAGTACAACGAAATTAGATGCAATCCCCGTGTCCGAAATTGAAAACAAATAATTAGATTTAAAAAAAAGAATAAAAAAGGAGAGCAGTACTACACATGAACCTCTGCACTTGAATCATTTCACACTGACTATGTGTGAAAGACAGCTTACAATATATACATAATAATATTGCACCAGTTTATTATATATTGCACATAAAATTAAGAATTTGGGGTGGGGATGTTAATTGCCATTCTGTGCCCTGATAGCCACAGGATAAAAGCTGCTGTGTAGTCTTTTTGTCCTCATTTTAATGCTCCTGTATCTTTTGCCTGATGGCAGTAGTTGGAACAAATCATGAGCAGGGTGTGAGGGATCTTTTAGGGTGCCTTCCGCTCTCCTGAGACAGCAAAAGTTGTGAAGTTCATCCAGAGAAGACAAACGACAGCTGCTGGGCGGTCTCCACAATCCTTAGGAGTGATTTCCTCTGTGCTGATGTGCAGCTAGAGAACTGCGCGCAGAAGCAGCAGCACAAGATGCTCTCTATGGAACAGGGATGGAAGGACATCAGCAGATTTTGTGAGATGTTGTTTTTCCTGAGGACCCTCAGGAAAAAGTCTCTGCTGAGCCTTTTTTGCCACCGCTGTTGTGTTCACACCCCAGGACAGGTCATCAGTGATGTGTACACCCAGGAAGCGGAAATCAGACACCCTCTCCACGCAGTCCCTGTTGATGAAGAGTGGACTGATGTCAGTTTTCTTTTTCCTAAAATCCACAACAATTTCTTTGGTCTTTGCTGTGTTCAGGAGCAGGTGGTTCTCTGTTCACCACACTGTCAGCCGATGCACTTTGTGCCTATAGGCAGACTCATCTCCCTTCGATATGAGCCCCACCACCGTGGTGTCATCTGCGAATTTCACAATGATGTTGCTGTTATGAACGGGTGCACAGTCGTGGGTGTACAACGTAAAGAGCAGGGGGCTCGGAACACAGCCCTGGGGTGAGCCAGTGCTAACGGTGATAGCTGAGGAAATGTGTGGGCCCACCCTGACCCTTTGTTTACGATCTGTCTAGAAGTCCTTTATCCAAAGACATGTGGAGTATGGGAGTCCCAGGTCTGACAGTTTGCACACCAGTCTGTCAGGGAGGATAGTGTTGAAGGCACTGCTGAAATCAACGAAGAGGAGGCGCACGTAGTTCCCATGATGCTCCAAGTGGGACAGAGTAGCATGAAGAGCAACAGCTACAGCATCCTCAGTAGACCTGTTAGCTCGGTATGCAAATTGATGAGTATGAAAGATGGGAGGGATAAAGGACATGATATGACTCTGGACCGGTCTTTAGAAGCACTTCATCAGGACTGGAGTGAGTGCTACAGGCCAATAGTCATTCAAACAGGTTACAGGTGGGTTTTTTTTTTTGGTAAGGGGACTATGGTGGAGGATTTCAGACAGTGTGGGACAGAGGCCAGGGACAATGACAAGTTGAATATCTTTGTGACAACCCCAGCCAGTTGTTCTGCGCAGTCCCTCAGTACACGTCCCGATATGCCGTCAGGACCAGCTGCCTTCCTGGGGTTGACAGCCAGAAGCGAGCATCTCACTTCAAGCTCCTGCACCCTAAAGTTGGGAGCGGTGTCGCTGTGGGCCACTGTTGCTTTGCTTCTAACTGCTGTCACCGGTGTGTGCACCTCAAAGCGGGCAAAGAAACGGTTCAGTTCCTCAGCCATTGAGACATCACCTTCAGCGGCTCCCTGATTCGTCCTGTAGTTAGTGATGTGCTGGACTCCCTGCTCGACCTGCCTGCTATTATTACTTTCCAGGTGCTCCTCAATCCTCCTCCTATAGTCTCTCTTGGCCTTCTTGATGCCTCTCTTCAGGTTGGTGCGTGTTGTGCTGTACAGGGCCTTGTCACAGAGCCCCACAACATCCAGAGTCTTAACCCTCCCACTGTCCTAATGAGTGTGACCCTACGAGGAAAGCTGACCGTTGAGCAGGGTTGATGGTTTATCCCTTCAGGTGTCCTCAAGGGATAAACCATCAATCCCGCTCAAGGGTCAAATTTCCTCGTGGGGTCACCCATAAAGACAGTGGGTGGGTTAAGGAACTCCATGCGGATCTCATCTACCCCAGGGGCAGAGAAGCTTTTTGACAACCTCAGTGACCTTGGCCCCAGATATTGGAGAGTCCAACTCAAAGTCCCCAGACTCTGCCTCCTCACTGGTGGGACTGAGGAGAAATGAATTAAAAGCTTGTTTGGGCACAAACTGTCTTGAACAAGTCAAATGTGATGAATCAAGATTAATTAATCACAAAGCATCTAATTATTTAGATTAATCGAGTTCCATGGTGTTGCCTTATGCAAAAAACTGCTTTATTAAATCTGGTAAAACAAAAAGTTTTTGCATTTTTTATTTAGTTTTACTTTAAGTAGTAAACACACGCACACACACACACACACACACACACACATATATATATATATATATATACATATATATATATATATGTATGTATATATATATATATATATATATATATATATATATATATATATATTTTAATGGCAAGTCACAAACTAATATTTTTTTGAGTGAGTGTCTTAAAGTGCTGTATATACATCAGTGGTCAAAATGTATGGCTTTTTAGTGCAAAGTTTTTACAATTAAAAAATTCTGCCTGAAACCATCAGAATGGCACCCCCTTCAGGTTCAACGGCTGCACTACATTTGAATTTCCACCGCTGGCACTGCTGTCCTTTTGGTCCGCCAGGCAACACCTCCTTTTGCCACGTTTTCCTTACGGGAAATGAGGGTGGAGTAAGACTCTGGTATAGGGTGGTGACTTCCTCACTAAGCCAACCCAGAAAGGACCAGATAGCAGTGCATTCTGGGAAAGTGTTGGCTATATTCATAGACCTATATGTTCAATGCTAATTTTACGTAGATAAATTCTTCATGGTACCACCTCCTTTCTCTTGCTTTGATGACACACTGAAAACTAAACTTGTCTCAAAAGCTGATTAAATCTTTCATGTGCAAATTTAAAGCATTTTTGTGCGTTTGAATGTTACCTGTCTGTTGTCGGAGTGAGTGACAGCTGTGAAACTTCTATAATTGCCTTTGAGGTTGGTTTGGTGTTGGTGAACAAGTAAACTGTTTAATATAGAAGCACTGATTAAAGTAAAATGTCTGTGGTGGTGGAAAACTATTCATTTAACCTGGTGTGTCTTTTTGCAGCAACCCTCGTCTCTCACTGCCCCTGTCCGTCCCTGATTAATTTAGTCTCCCTGATCCTTTCATCCATGTGTCTCTTCCACTCAGTGTCAGGCAGAAAGGGCCTTTGTTGCAGCCTGAAAAGCACCTTTCTTTGAGAGAGTATTCTAGTGGGAACCCTGGGTTCCCTGCAGAACAAAGGTCCCAGGTAGAAGGGTACAGTTTCAGCTCTAATATTCACTCCTGAATGGAGCAGATACCGGCACTCATTGTTGCACTTACAGCTCCATTTATGCTGTTAGGGAGACAAATGTCTGGTCACACAATTCATTAGAATCATAATACACATTAGGAGACTTGCTTCACGTCACATTTGGGATGTGTGTGTGTTCCAGTGTGTGTGTGTGTGTGTGTGTGTGTGTGTGTGTGTGTGTGTGTGTGTGTGTGTGTGTGCGCGCGCGCCTTAGTTACTGATTAGATTTTTTAATTTGAGGTCATGTTCAGATTCTGTAATTTTGAGCTTTTCAAAATAAAAGTCCTGAGAAGCAAGTATGTTGGTGCTTAGTGCAAAAACCAAACGTATTTAAAAAGTCTATTTAAATCAATATATCTGTGATCACCATTTATTTGGTTTAAACGTTTACTGAACTGACAGTTTCCTTTAATTATCTTTGATATTTCTTATAGATTCATGTTTTGATTTTCATAAAATGCTAATTGGTGTGGTACCAGGCACTGGCAGACTTTCAGCTGTTCTTCTTTAAATCGGTCCTATATTAATAGTTATTTTTTACGTCTTAATTGAAAGTTATCATGAAACCTTTACAGATGTGGCCAGAAGAGTGCGTTTATGCAAACATGTTAAGAGTTTAGTATTACAGTATTATATATATATATATATATATATATATATATATATATATATATATATATATATATATATAAGCATTACACATTAGTGATCCTTTAGAGTAAACTACTTAGTACAAACTCATAAAGAAAGGGAACTAAAAGCTCAGAATGATTGCACAGAAACACGCCGTGTTTTTGCACCACGAGAGTCAGGTGCTAATTGCGATGGCTTCTGCTCGTTAGTGGCAATCAGCCCATTAGCACAAAAAGTCTTCAACACGTTTTATGTGTTCCATTTAAATATAAACAAAAGCAGAAAATCGATTTAAAACTCATTTAGTTAGATGTAATTGCACCCGTGTATTGTGTGAGTCGTTTTTCAGACGGTGCATGATTGCCGGCGTAAACTGAAGTTCGTGTGAGCTGAATCAGGCCACTGAGAGTGACAATGCATGTGTGATATGACAAACTCGCCCGTGGTCCTTCATGTAAACAGATACGCTCCCCTCCTTACGCACACAGAAACATATCTGCCAATAATTTAGAAAGAGCTTTCTCACGTCTCCCAGCTTAGTAGAGCAAAGAAAAGTTTGTAAGGTGAGTTTTCAACACGACTTCCATGTTTGCTGTGTGACAACTCGCTAAATGTGGCTGGATTAATGTGTGTGTGGGGGTAGACGGTGATGAGGAGCCATGATTGAACTGGGAGGCTGTGAGAGGCAGCAGGCCACTCAGCTCTCAGACAGACGCCCCCTGTGAGGAAAGCTGGACAGAAGAGATGAGGAGTGTTGTGAATCAGAAATCTGAGAAATGTCTTTCTGTGCGTTCAGGCATGAAGGACCAGCGAGCGCTGCAGAAATGCTGCCACATGGACATTTATGTCTAGTTTTTCTAAATGTATTTGCAGCAAACTAATACAGAAACTCTGTTTTATTCATTTTACAATCTTATCATTTCTGTTAGCAGCTATGGAGCCAAGGGCTTTTGAATGGCGTGATCTACGGTGTCCAAGCAAACCTGTAATAGTTTGTTTCTGACAAAACCTTTAAAAAAGTCAACCACGTCATAGAGGTCCATTAGGAATGGGGTTGATGTGACTTTCTGTAGCGTCATGTTTCACACCTAAAAACCTGCTAATTCCATTCATGCTAAAATCTGATTTTGGTGAAACAAGTGAGAAAACCCAGCCATCTTCTAAGCTCAGCTGAGACTCACTACACAGAGTTAGATTAAGCCCAGAAAACTGGATTTTACGTGATTCGTTTCACACATCGACTTTTGCGACCTGTGGATTTTGCACAGCGGCTATAATAAATCAAAACATTGAGTTTTGTCACAGAGCATCGTGGATCCACACATTAGTTCACATTAAAACATGAACATTTGTAACCAGCTGGTTGATGATGTGTCTTTCAGGTTGTTTGTACCACAGTCAGGAGTGCCGGCTGGTGATTCACTACGAAAAGGGCTTCTCTGTGCTGGCTGAGCAGAAAACAACAGATGAGGAGGGAGGTGAAGAGAGAGTAGTCAGCACTTCCATCCAGCCCCAAGTGCTCCTCTCCTACCCCTTTGAAAAACTAAAGATGTCCTCGGACGACGGCGTTCGCTTGCTTCTTCTCGACTTTGGAGGGAACGAGGGGGAAGTTGTGAGTGTTGACGTTTTACGATTTTACCAAGACGAGATAAATGAGCCTCGTTATTTGTCTTTAAACTGTTTCTTTGGTTCAGCCAGAGATAGATGGTGATCAAGTTGTAAAAATACAAAGTTCACAGCAGTTAGATTTGCTATGTTTAGTTTAAAGAGCTTTTCTGAGTTCTGTGCTCGTTGATGCAAGGCTCCTACAGAGAAACCTGCTTTATGTTTGCAGATATAGAATTTTTAAATTACTTTTATTAAAACATCATATTCTACATTCACTTTGACCACATTGGTAAATTGTATTGTAATTGGCTGGTACACTGCAAAATCTAGTTTCTTAAAAAAAAAAAAAAGACAATTCATTTTTTGTCATTTATTTTTATTTCTTGCCTAAAAATAAAAAGTATTCCCTAGAAAAATTACATTACTTAAAATAAGGTAAATAAATAGGGTGACATCTTATATTTAATTCGAATTTTCTTGTTTTGAGTTTTAAAAAAATCTGCTAAGCAGACTTTGATTGGTTAGAATTCTTTAAAAAAGGAAAAGATTGTTTTTTTATTTTATTATTATTATTATTATTATTATTATTATTATTATTATTATTTAGCTAGTTTTAAGAATTCTAGCCAATCAACTTTCACTTACCTCGTTGGCACATTTTTTTAAACTCAAAATAAGAAAATTTGGATTATATTTACTAACCTTATTTTAAGTAATGCTATTTTTCTATATTTCAGGCTAAAAGTAGAATCAAATGTCTAAACTATTTATTTTTACTTTCTTAGTAATCAGTTTTTGCAGTGTAATGGTCATCATTTATACTGCTTTAATGGTTGTTTTTTTAAGTGTCCCATTCATTTTTGATCGTGATTCTAAATGATAAAAATTGCATGTTTGCACCACTGATTCAGCGCAGACTCTACCCAATTATCTTAGGAGGAATTATCCGGCAAAAAGCAGCGGATAAAAGGCACAGAGGTCAAGTCCATAGATTCTAATAAGCAGCCTTTAGGCAACCTGCTCACATCTGTTTCCTCTCTTTTTTATCTCTTTTTAATTTTTGCTTCCAAACTAACCAAAAAAGTCTCAGATTTCTTATGTTGATTCTCTCTGCAAGGCATTTTATTCTTCTCTTATTCCTTTTTCACATCTCATTAAATCCAATTATCTGTACAGTTCAGATGAATTTGCTGAAAACAAACAAAACATTTCGTTTGGTTTAAATTGGCAGCTTTTCTGGAAATATGAGTATTTCTGTCTCGTCAGGTTTTCTTGCATCTACACAAAAAAATGTTGCACAGACTAAAAAACAAGATCTGGACAACTTTTGCCAAAAGATCGTCTCAAAACAACGCGCCTTTGTCTGGCAACAGATATGCTATTCATCAGCTTCTCAAACATTATTTGCATTAAAATAATCATCTGGCACATGGAGCAGGAAATCCTGCCATAAATATCTGTCAGGACATCAGCTGAAGCCAGACATGCAGAAACCTTTAGCTCTGTTGGCTAACAGAAGGGAAACCAGAGTGAGCCAGCTATGAATTTGAACAGTTTATTGCAGATCGATCGCTCAATCTTTCTCATAGGAAGCTGTAAATAAAATTAATTCAGCCCTCCTAATGTTATATAATCCCTCATTTGGACAAAACTCCAAATAAATCAATGCATTTTTTAATCTTCCTGTGGCTTTAGAGCTCTGGGAGTTCTTCTGGGTTTTGGTTCTGGCTCAAAGGACATAATTCAGTATGAATCCCTCTTTGCTGTGGTCAAGCGGCGCAACCAGCAAATATAAAAAAAGCTCATTTTGTCTCCAAGGGGACCTCCAAGGGCCTTCTGGGAAATGGAGCAAGAAACAAACTGCAGCACAAAGTGTTTGTGACAAGAACAAGGAAGGCGGTGCAGCAGAAAGTAAATTACAGCATTTCGTTAGAAAATAACACCTTTAGAAGGAAATCGGCTTTACTAACTGGTTCTCACCAGGTAAGAACATTTCAGAGTGCAGCTTTCTTAGAAAACACTCTGTTGCTGATTATAAAACTTTTGTTTGCACCACTCAGCTGCTCGCTGAATAACGCCCAGCTGCTTCAGTCTGCAGAGGGGAGCGCAGTGATCAAGAGCTGCTGGTGTGAAGCTTAGTCTTCTCCCAACTTTAATTCTACCAGCAGCGTATTTAAAATAAATGCATTTCCATTCATAAAACGCAGCACGTCAACAGAATGGAAATGGTAATAATGAAAAGTGGAATATGGACTCTTAAGCATGTTTGGTGTGTGTTATTAGTGCAACAGCTTCACTCAGACACACTCGTTTTTGTCTGCTCTACTTATCCTGAAGACAAATAAGCAAAGACATCTGAGTGTTTATTCTAAAGCCTTCTCCTGGCTACTTCAGCCCAGCAGAGTTTTGCGTCTGTAGTATTTCTGAATCCTACTCTCGACAGGGTTTTATAAATACTCCCAAAGCTCTGGTGGATGGCTCATTAGCTCAACATTTGAAAGGCAGCAGTGTCATTTTGTTTTTCTGTGTTTATTAGATCTCCATCTTTGTATGAAGACGGATTTTATCTGTCCCCGCTGATCTGCAGGGGAAAAAGTTATGAGTGACTAATTCATGAATCTCAGGCATGAAGGTGTCTGACTTGTACGATGATTGCAGGACTTAAAGTGGAACAAAACATTAGCTGGACACGTTCATATCCCATTTTATAAACTGTAATGCTCTAAACAGTCATTGTATACGTGGAAGATTCAAGCTGCTGCAATCTGGATAGGTGGTTTCTCAAAAAGCTGTAAGTAACTCAAGTGGGAATTAAACTCTCCCCAAAGGCTCAGACGGACAGAAAGTCTTCTAAAAGTGTTTGCTTGAATGGCACAGCCCTCCTGGGATGAAGCAAAAGTGGCATTGTCTTGAAATGAAGTGCATCAGTTTGTTTTTTATCAAAATAAAAGTGAGTGTTGCAGCCACAGTAAAACACGGAGGAGGTTGCATCATGGCGTGGGTTAGAGAGATTACCCAGGGTCCGATCCAACTCACGTCTAGCAGCACACGTCTGAAGCAGGAAGTGGATTTTACCTGGCCGGTGGTTTGTGGTACAAACTTGAATTTTTATTTAAGAATCGCAAAACTTCTTTTGTTTGATGCATTTTTTTTCACTAGTTTCTGCTTGAAAACCCAAAACATCTGACCAGATTGTGTGTTTTATAATCTCTTCTGCTTAAAGAAGATTTCTTTCTCCATCTTCTCCAGAATGTTGTCATATTTGTTTCAGGTTTTATGATTAATTTTGGGGTTTTTGCTTCTCCCTCCAGCAACTGGACCTCCACTCGTGTCCAAAGCCGATCGTCTTCATCCTCCACTCCTTCTTGTCTGCTAAAGTCGCCCGTCTGGGTCTGGTGGCCTGAGCGGCTCACCTGAAGGACATCATCCTCGGAGAACAAATCCACCTTGTTTGTTTCATCTATGTGCAGCTCGCATGCAGTTCACCACCCCAAAGCTTGAAGAATGTAGCCTCCGTCAGGAGCCTGGAGCCGGTTCCACATTTGGATCTGAGATTTGTTTGGATAATCTTAATGGGTCGGGTACATTACCCCCATTAGTGGCTGAAAGCCATTACATTTGTCTGAAGGACTACAGCTGAAAGCAAGGACCGGTCTAGATGCCGAGGACGGTTTACGAGAGACGGTTGGACATTACTGTCACGTCCAGGATGGGAAGAGTTGGCCGCGTCTAGCAGGGTCAAGATAAATCCACTCTTAATTCAATCAAAAAGCAGCAGCAACCTGCCATCCATTTACCAATTATATCATTTATTCACCATTAGGTCCTAATGGGCGTTTTGAGTTTTGCTCATCGTTCGTCTTCCTCAAACACTTGACGCTCCGTGGAAAAACTTTGCGCATTAGTCTTTATGAAGAGTCCCCCGAGATGTCTCGTTAGCAGCGTCTGCATTCGTCATCCCAACAGGGAGGCACAATGTGACAGCTCATTCCCATTCTAAATGGCACAGCATTCATTTAACAGGTTGACCAGTGTATTTTTTTAGATTTCAGTGTTTGAATTAAAAGCCGCCTGACAGTTAGACTTCAGGAACTGATTAAATTTTCACATTATGTCACATAAACATGGAATTATGTAGAATAATTCACAAACGCCATCTAATGCCAGATTTTTTTATCCTTTAGACATTTCTTTGCTGTCATCATAAATAAAAGAATAACAAAAAATACATCTTAATTCTATTTACTTGCTATTAGTACATCAAAATAAATAATCTATTTCCTCCTATTTGGAAAACATCACCAGATTAACTGCAAAATACAATATATTACCTTGCATATCTTTTTATTCAAATTGGCGACGTGTAGTTTCCTGCAGCTAGGGGGCAGTACATACATTTCAGGGCAGATTAACACCATATAGCCGTGACTGTCACTAGTTTAAAAAGACATTGCGGTAAATGTTGTTACCTGTGGAGCAGAAGGCGTACACCCTTGGCGTGACTCCTCAGACGTCGATGGTCCTTTAGTTAAGTCCATCGAGAGAATGCAATGCCGATTGTAGTTTTCTGTTACTGTAGTTTTCGGATCTGCTCGGGGTCCTGCTCCTGCCGATGATGTCATCACACTACGGCAATACCACTCGGCCAAAATATATTGCATCTCTTTTTCAATTCTGTTCTTTCACATGTGTTTTGGAAGGAGTGTAGCAGTTTTGCTATTAAATTGGTGTTTCTTACTGCCTAAATGCTTTTTAACGTGGTGACGTTACTTCCGTAAGTCGTATGTTCAGCCAGTCATCTAGTGTGACATCATCGGCAGGCGCAGGACCCGAGCCGGCCAGAAGGAAACACGGCATTTAATATGGCGGCCCCCAAAAATGCTGGACCCACCCCCTATATGTGCTTTAGACCAGATTTTTATGGTTATATGGTACGAAGCCGCCAATATTTTTTATCAACTGGGCGTAATTTTATGTATTTTCAGCTACGTTTCGATGGATATTTCCGGAGATCAACAGTAAAAATGACACGTTGTCTCTTGAACAAAAACTTGAGTCGAATGCAGAGACGGTGTGTGAGAAAGAAAGGGTCGCGCTAGCCACTGTCAAATTAGTAGCCTGCTAGCAGCCAAGTGCTGCTAATCTATTCACTTCACTAGATGATCTTTAGCCAACTGAAACATCTCTGCAGAAAATAAATGAGCAGCAGTTTTTGATGTTTGTTCAAACGCATTCGGGTTTTAATGAGATTTTAAAAATCTCTAAAGCATCCGGAATGACGTTGCCACTCAGCTGTCTGGAAAGTCAAAAGGCCACCTTACAAAGGAAGTACTCTCATGAGTATTACCAGGAGCGAACTTTCCAGAAAGCTTACGCTGGTGTCAAACTGCTCAGAGAGACAAGTAGAAGTTGATGACCACATGAGTTACAGATACAGTTAGAGCGTGGCTTGTTAGTTTAGTTAAACCAGTTCTTCAGACTAACACCAAAGCTGAGATCATTTTTCAGTGCCTCGATCACAACAACGAGTGAACATAACACTATCTAACATACTTTTACGTACCGAGTAGGTTCTGTGTTTTCATACGAGACATTCGATCTCCTTATTATTCTGTGCAAACTGTTAAATGACAACTTGACCCTCTGTGGTTTCGGCACAGATTCAGTAAATCAAACAGAATGGTTTGGCGGTTAAACTCGACAAAAGCTTGTTAATAGTTTTCTTAAGTCTGGACATCATCAATTTGCCATGTTCAAATATGATTCCTGCAAGAAATGGACCGTGCACATTTCCCAGAGAGCTAAAACATTCACCTACGGGTTTTCAGATTTGTGATCTGACAGGGTGTCCTTATTCAGAACAGACTGCTGATGACCTCAAACGTTTTTGCATCCTGGTTTGATTGACAAACAACCGTCATGTTGCCATATATTCATATTCATCCAGTTAAAGCTGTCATTCGTGATTCTGTTGACGGTGAATCAAATGGTGTCTCTGAGATCAGCCATCGTCCTGCGTTACTCCCACAGCAGCTGTGCAGCTCACTAATCTTTTGGATGTCAGACAGCAGCATATCACATCTGTAGAGTCCTCTGTCTCTGACGTGGCTTATAGCCAGGTTTCCTTATACCCTCTGTAAATGTAGGAGAAGAAACATTTCAAAGTCTGGATCTTTAGAAGTGGTTTCTGTGGAAAGATTATGAGTGATTGACACGTAACCCGTTCTATGTCTCATCAACCTCAGTTTGGAAAAGCTGTTGTGTTCTGATCAGATTGATGAGATAATAGCTAAAACTGCTTTCATCATAGCTATTTAAGCTGGTTTATGAAATTTTACATCATTTTCAGTTTGAATTCACAGTCATTTACACTCTATGATCATTTGCAAACGCTAATAGCAGCAGCAGCTAGCTAGCTGTGGCACCCCCGATGCAGCTGGGGCATTTCCTAATGTTTCTATTGAAATAACCGTGTAATGCAACACTGATCACAGTGTCAGTCATAATCTTTAAACTTATATTTTTTAACACCGTTTTAGGGTGACAACAGTCCACTCGGATGAGTAGGGCCAGTTGCAAAGCGGACTGATGCCCGTATGAAACAGCTGTAGCCTCATGTGTGTCACAGAAATTCGTGAGAACACTATTTTAGAAACCTTTAAACTGCTGTAAATTTCAAATTACATTAATATTCACTGATTTCTAACATTGTTTGCACAGGAAATGAGTAGCAAGTGACTTGGACTCGAGTCAGACTTGAGTCATTATTTTAGTTACCTCTGACTCGAATTGATAAAATCTATAAAGACTTACAATTTGACTCGGACTTGAACGCCAATGACTTGCAACTTGAATCGACTTGCATCTGTTGACTTGAGCATATTTGATATTTTAGCACAAAAGTGACACGACATGGACAAACATCATTCTTCGTTCTGGGTTCGATTTACTGCTAACTGCAGCAGCACTTTGTTTGTAATCAGCTTCAGTTGCACTTTCTGCTTGTTTGAGCAAATAAATGAAGCTTTAAGAAACTTTAACTCTGGAATTTATTTATCATTGTCATTAAATTGAAGTTGGACAGATGACTTGATTATGACTTGAAAATTCAGAGTTAACGACTTGGACTTGACTTGGACTTGGTTGTCTTTGACTTGGACTTGACTTGGACTTGACTGGAAATACTTGTGACTTACTTGTGACTTGCAAAGCAGTGACTTGGTCACACTTCTGGCAATTTGTGTTGAAACTGTAAATGGCCTTTATTTGATATAGCACCTTCTAGGGTTCTACAACCCCACAAAATGCTTCACAACACACACACACGCACGCACACACACACACACACACACACACACACACACACACACACGCACGCACACTTGGTGGTAATGAGCTACGTAGTAGCCCCAGCTACCCTGGGGCACACTAATGGAAATGAGGCTGCTGAGCACTGGCGCTGCCAGTCCCTCTGATCACCACCAGCAGGCAAATTGTCTTGCCCAAGGACACAACTGCAACAGATAGGGCTTGAACCTGCAGCCATGGTTGCCCCAAGTGTGTTTCAGTCAGAATTTACAGTAACACTTTACAATAAGGGTCTTTTTATAAGCGTTTCTTAGTATAATATAAAGCATTAATAAACCATTTAAGTGTTAGCAATTGCTTTTATGCATTACATAGCATTACTCAGCATATTATTTAATGCATTATTAAGCAGTTAACTAATGCCAATTACTGAACCTTAGTTAATGCAGTACAAAGCTTTAAATAACACTTGCATTATTTAATTGCTTTGCATCATGTGTGTTAATTACCATGTTAGTTAATGTGTCAATTAACACTTAATAATTTTTAAGTCATTTATTGTGGTAGTGTATTTGCAGCGAATAAGCAATAAGTAACAGCTAACTAATGTGTCCACTTATCCTACCCTGTACTTTGGATTGGATGGGCATTAATAAACAATTAATTAATGTCTTACTAATGCTGTACTGTGTTTGTTATCAAGAAGCCCTTACCTGACCTTAGGTAAGGTAAAACCATTGATCCCCTTTGGAAACACTTTCTAAATGCTGAATAGGCTCCTAAGCATTACTTAACCATAATTAATCATTACTGAATGAATTTTGGGCCTTATTGTAAAGTGTAAACATGTCTCCCCTAGGAAACCCATTCTAAATGCCTAATAGACTCATGAGCATTACTTAAGCATTACCTAACCATAGTTGAACATTACTAAATGAATTTTGGACCCTTATTGTAAAGTGTCAACATTTATCCATTTTTAAACACTTTCTAAATACTTAATAGACGCCTAAGCATTACTTAAGTATTGCTTAACTATAATTAATCATTACTGAATTAATTTTGGCCCCTTAGATTCAGTTAGAAACATTAGCTTCTTAATAATGCATTAAACATTATGTTTAGTAATGCTATACAATGCATAACAGCAGTTGTTAACCCATTATTTAATGGTTTATTAATGCTTAATAATGCACTAAGTAATGTTAATAAAGGGACCTTTATTGTAAAGTGTTACTGAATTCACAACGTTCCCACCAAAACAACAATAATACTGTAAAACAGATGGCAGTTAAATGTGAGTAAAATTGTGTTCTCGTTAAATATTGTGAAACTTTTTAGAGGAAAGTTGTTTTAGGACGACCGAAAATCTACGAAATGTTGCAGGTAAATAAACCTTCTCTGTGTTTTAAAAAGAACGGAAAGATGGAATTTGAAACTCAACACAGCAAGAACACACCAAAGATGTTTACATCTACTTTATACTTGGCCCCACTCTGGCTGGCTTGTCTGGTGACAACTAATCTGTTTTTCTCAAAACATAGGCTGTTCAAAGAGCTCTACAAGATATTAATTTCTTGCAACATGTCCACAGAAATCCACTTCAGAAGATCAGATCTATTTAAAACACACAGGGCATGAACAGAATGACGCGTCAGCGGTTTCATCCTTTGGTTAAGTGTGATGAAATCAAACAGCTGTGATGTGTGTTCTCACTGGGACATTCACAAAAGGTCGTTTACACACACTGTAATTAGTGATTTTGCATTGAAACTCTGCAGCAGGAACGTAATGATTTGCTGATTAGTTGTAACACTGAAGAATCCTCCAGCACTTAAGTAGAGAAGCTCTGAGTTAAGGCTGCTTTAAAGAAACTCTGATGCCTTCGGCAGCTCCTGCATTGTCACACAGAATGATGAAGTTTAGTTTTTATTTCCAGTATTGCGACATAAATCGTGTATGTAACGATGCTGTGATGAGTCTTCACCTGTGATTTATTCAGAAACTACACCTTTTTTGTTCGTATGTATTTGCTGATGATACTGACTCTGAATGTATAAAACTGAGTAACTGTACAATAATTAAAACAGTAGGCTCTACTTTTTGAATCAAATGATGTTATGGTGCAGTGTTTTGGGGGGAGTGGCTGAAACAAAGAGATGTGCTAATTTACAGGCTGGATTTGGGGACGTTCATGAATTCATTTGAGTTGTAGGCAGCACTTAACCGTAACTCTTGACATTGTTCACTTGCCTCCAAGGTAATGAGTTGGCATTCTTTCCCTCTTTCTCTCTCTCCCCTCTCTCTCTCTCGCTCTCTGATGGATGGATACATGAATGATAATGAGGTGAATGAATCTGACTGGGTCTCTGTGTAGCTGTAACTCTTGTAACTGTTTACAACTCGGCATTCCTCACCAGCATATCTTCCCACCTCCTTGTATTTATTGTGCTCTTGAATCATGTCAGACACTAAATGTCTGCAGAAAGTAACTGTTGCATCACGTGAAGGAGAAGAATAGAAGAAACTTTCTTCCGAGGAGCGTTCCCACGGGAACAGCCTATCAAAAGTCCAACTCAAATGGACCCTTTGTGGCCAGCTGGCCTGTTTGGGACACTGGAACAACATGTTGAGGAAATTCTCTACATTTTAATTTAAAGTGGCTGGAAAAGAGCCAGACTAACAGGCAATTAAGTGTGTGAGTCGTGCTCATATGCATGCCGTGGATGCCTCTCACACATGTAAATTCTCTCTGCTCAAGATATTTGTTTGTGTGTTGGTGGGTGGAGAGTCGGTGGAGTGGGTCAACAGCTTTCCTCTTGGCTCAGTCTCTTGTTGCATTCCTCCACTGCTGCAGGTCCTCACCAGTTCTAAACTGGTGTGTATGTGTGTGTGTGTGTGTGTGTGTGTGTGTGAGAGCATGCATGCGTACGTGTGTGTGTGTGAGCGTGTGTGTGTGTGTGTGTGTGAGCATGCATGCGTACGTGTGTGTGTGTGTGTGTGTGTGTGAGCGTGTGTGTGTGTGTGTGATTTCAAATCAAACTTTTGTGGTCTTATGGGAGAAAATAACAGGGCAGATGAGGTAAACTGAAGAAGATTAGAAGGTCAAAACGAGGCCAGCTGAAGTGGATTTAATATTTAACTACGGTTGTGAAGAAAGTGTGATTTTAATGTTTTAAAGTAAAAGTCTTCATATTACATTTTTAAAGGCTTTTTCCGCCAGTCACTTTATTTTCTAATCAAATTAATGATAAACTAGAAGCTGAAACTTTGTACATGCGTCCAAAGTGTGGCCCAGGGACCCTTTCTGGCCCTCAGATTGATTTTGTGCAATAGCATTTCCTCTCCAGCAGACTGTTGATGTAAAACTGATTGTGATTAGATTAGATTTGAACTATCATGCCTAATTCTACAAATAAAAAATCCCCATCAAACGATTTAATAAATGAAAAAATAGACTATTTTTGTGGCCTTCAATGATTTCTAATGTCACCTTTTTGGTCCCTGTCTTGAAAAGATGGACACCCCTGCTCTACGATCTATGTGACCTATCAGAACCTGGTCGACAAAGTTGGGGAACCTCCTTTGCTGTGAAAGTGATGATGATGCTGATGCTTATCTCCTCATTTTCATTCTCTGAAATTCTCTCCTGCACCCCTGAGAATCTGATTACATCAGCAGAACTTCCCTTTAGCAATCCCATCCCATTCATGCATAACTGCACCACCTCAGAACCACACCCGGATGCAGCTAGACGATCTTGCTAAAACTGTTGGCTGATTGCAATACTGCATCCCCAGGAACACTACAATCCTACTACAGAGAGTTTTGTGCGAGTTCAAACCAAAGGAGGAGCACACTTTTTTCTTAATAGCTGTTTTGACAAAACAATGTCGTCAATTTGCTGCAACGCCGTGGCGGCACCAGAGAGCATTTGGTCATATAAGTGCTCAGACTGTGGTGGTAATGTGGCGCAATCACAAATGATTACGCAATGGCGGCAAAATGTGGGTATGGGGGCGGTCTCTGCACTGTGGCGGATTTTCAGTCATCTTAGACATAACTTGCTTTTTATTGCAATCAAAGCCACACTCGTTAAGTTTTTTTTAACAAACTGCTCCTAAAGGTGTCCTCCACAGTCCCTGTGCAGTCTCAGGTGATCTGAACTCCAGCTCTAAGAGAGAAGCTCACGGAGTGCTGCGTCACTTCAGTTTATCATTTCAGCTGCTCTAGTTTACAAAAGTGAAACGTATTATCCGTGTTTACTTTCATTTTCAATATAGTGGCTGGTTGGAGCTCGGCAGTAACTCCCCACGTGATCATGACACCTCCCTCTGTTGCGCCAAGGCGCAATCGCTGTTTATGAGACGGCAGTATTACTACCAAGCGAGGCGGTTTGAATGTAGCAAAACGTGTGCATCGCCCTGCCAGCATGGTACGATTATAAGACATTGCCAGTACTGTGTGTCTTGTAAAAAGGGCTGAAGTGTGTTTGAGGACATCAGTACCTTGTGAGGATCATCTTGTTCTGATATTTTTAAGCATAACTGTGTCGGCTCTCCAATGGCTGGGGTCGTATCTTTAGGGTCGGAGGTTATGTGTTATGGTGGGTGAAGACTCGTCTCCATGGGGGGACTTGCAGTGGGGGGTACCACAGGGCTGAGTCCCTGGACCACTCATCTTTGCCCTTTATTTACTCCCTCTAAAGGTTGGTTTATGCTTGACGCGTTCACGAGGTTCGCACGGCTTCGTGCGGAAAAGTTGCGTCATTTTAACAACCACGCCCCTCCACCGCGCCTCCGCACGGCCCAAACTTTCCGCACCGTGCACCTAGGAAATTTTCTAACCACGCGGACGGTCGAACGCAGAAAAACATGGCGGACTGGCAAGAACTAGTATGGCAGAGGTTCGTAAATACAGACATTTGTATGATTCAGCTCTCAAAGATCACCGTGATCAACATGTTGGAGAGAAATAGCTCGCACTGTCGGAAAAGACGAGGACGCTGTTAAAAAATGCTGGAATGCCATGTTGTAAACAGTAATTTTTACTTCTACTATGGTGTAGTGTTGGATGCATGCCGTAGAGCTCCATGCTGCCCCATTCAGTTTGGGAGAATATTGGCTCACCGCAGAGACGAGCCGCATGAACCATAAACGCTGCGAGTTGTGAAACGCGTTCCATCCGTGAGCCACATCACCAAGCAGAAAGTGAATGCGTCAAGCATAAACCAAGCTTTATGGTCCTTGTATGCAATGGTGTTAAGTTTCACCTGTTTGCAGATGACTGCCAGACTTGTTGTTCCTCTGTGCCAGGGGACAGGATCTATTTCTACTCTAATAACTTGTTTGGATGAGTTTAAGTCCTGGCTGGCCACTAATTATCTCCACGAATAAAACCGACCTCACCACGTTCCTCACTACTCACAAGGTGGGTGTGGGTTCTGCTTTTAATTTGGAATTTTCTTTCACCATGTCAGAAGTCAGTCATCAATAACCTGGGGGTGAGATTGGACTCAGAACTCAAATTTGATACCCACATTGATATGGGGGTGAAATCCCGCTTCTTTCAATTGCAACGGCTAGCTAAGATCAAGCCCATGTTGTCAGAACTCATCTAGAGTCCATTCTTCATGCGTTTGTCTTATCCAGGCTGGATTATTATAATGCACTTTATGCTGGGCTGAGTCAGGCTGCTTTGAAATGGTTGCAGTTGGTCCAGAACTTGACAGCCAGATGTTTGACTGGCATGTTATTGGGCTAAATTTAACCCTGCAGGGTTGTGCTCCTCCATGACCTAGCTGCATTGCTAAAATGGCACATCCGTTCACGATCTCATCGCTCGGCTGAGCAGGAGTTGTTGGTCGTCCCACGCTCGGTTCTGGCTCCTACTCTCTTAAATGTGGTTCTGCTGCAGTTGCCTTCACTGCAGGTTTTTAATAGTTGCTTGAAGACCCATTTTTATCATTTGACTTTATGTAATAGTCTTGTGTTTTTATTTTTTATTTGATCTTTTTGTCATGCAGGTTTTTTATTTATTTTTTTGGTGTATGTTCCGTTCAGCACCTTGGGCTCCCACTAAGGTAGTGGGAGGTGCTATATAAAAAATGTGATTGATTGATTGATTGATTAGGTACAGGAATATCAGTTTACAGATGAAATGTGATCCAAACAGTTGAAAGTAATTTTATTCAGCATGTGTATTTCTATTTTTTTCCAGAAATAAAACTGTAAAATTAAAATTTTCCTCAAACATGCCTGAATGAAACAATCACCTGATTTATTCGGATTTCTTTAAAAAATAAAATAAAATAAAATAATAAATAAATCAGCCCAGTGGAAACCTTGACTTTTGACTTTATTGGCCTTTCTAGATGCAGAGGTAAAAAGAGCATCTCTGGAACATCAGCACAAGAAGGCCATGTCACTTAGCAGGGAATACAGAAGCATTCAACAGCACACAACAACGCGTCCAAATGGATCAGGTGAAGATAAATTATCGCATTCCTGCCTGAACATAGCTATGAACGCACAAATTTACCCTACAGATTAGATCCTGAACACAAACAGACACATCAGTGGTCCTCTTGTTCCTGTGTCGGTGTGCTGATTCAAACCCTAACCCATGTTTAAAATGTCTTTGCATCTAACCCTGGTTTCAATCTTGTTCTTCAAACTAGAGAAACACAAATTTATTTTTTAAACTTCCTCTTTAAACTCTTTTTTTTTTTTGCCTTTTTTCACAGTTTCTGAGCTCATTGCATCATCCTGGCTTTCGGTTGTTTGGTTTCATTAAAGATTAATCATCTTGTCTCTGTCGATAACATCCTGGATTGTCACTTCATCGATGCTGAGCATTTTTTTCTAAGCAAAATTTAAAAAAAGATAAGTGTTCTTTTGACTGAAAAACATAACATCAACAATCTCACGTCAGTTAATTCAGAGATCAGAGAGAAGAACCAGCTTCTCTGCTTTGGTTCCCACTCCGTAGGAAGCAACGTTACATGGCACGTGTTATTATACATTAAAATTAACTTCATAAATAAAAAGGTGTGGACATGAAATTGGTTTGGAGAAGTGAGCTTAACCCCATTGAGCATTATTTTTGTCACAC